GACTCAGTTCGTGGTCTATTCGCCGGATATGGAGGCATGGGTGGCGATCTGGCCGAAGCTCAAGACCACAGAGCTCCAGGCCGAGGTCCGGGAGATTAAGAAGGAGGTGAAGGAGTCGATCAGCTACTATTCAAACGTCAACATCTCGGTGCATCGCGCCGTCGCCGAGAGTCCGAAGGGTCAGGAGATGCCGGGTGACTTCTTGGTGCACCACAAGGCGTGGCTCTACATCACGACGACGGGCGACGGTTACTGGAACAGCGATGATGCCCCTAAGCCTGAGCATGCTGCGGCCAGTGGCGGGGGGTCCCCCTTCGAGGTGGTGCTCGAGGACGGCGGCGACCCGTGGGGCGCGAACGGCGTGCAGTAGAGCGTGGCTTCAGGACCGCTCGCTGACTTGATCCCACCAACGTGAGGGGGAAGAGGGGGATGAGGAGGAGGGGCGAATGGAATGGAGGAGGAATGAAATGAGAGTGGGAGAAGGATGGGACGAGGGAAGATGGCAGGATGAGGAACCGATGACGGAGGGAGTTGAAAGACAATGAGATGGGGAGGCGCAGGAAGAAGAGAAGGGAAGGGGGGGAGGAGTGAGGAAGGATGAGTGCCCCGAAGGACGACTCTCCTCTACCTCTTCCTGAGCTGGCTCCTCATGTGCTCGTTCGCGCTGGCGGCCCGCCCGGGCGCTCCCCCGTTGCACGCGCGGGGGGGTGAAACACTCGTGGGGGTTATGGGATATGCCCATTGAACAAGAGGTCGGAGTTGCTCGCGCCACCCTTGCGCCTCCCCCCCCCCCCCCCCCCCCCCCCCCCTCCCTCCCCCCCCCCTTCTCCTCCTGCTCCTCCTCCTCCTCCACCTCCTCCTCATCCGCCTCCTCCTGCCTCATCCCCCAACTTCTCCTCGCCCCCCTCCTCCTCCTCCTCCTCCTTCTTGGATGCGGTGAGAGACTGAAATGGAATTTGCTTGTTAACCAGCGGCGGCTAAGTCTTACCCTCTAGGAACGCCCTTCTGAGGTCTCCGAATAGGTCCGCGATCCTTCCGAGCGTGACCAGCCTGGAGGTCAGTCGTGAACTCCTGGGCCCGTTTCTCGGAGCTCTCCTGGAGCCCCCTCTTGGAACTCTCTCTCTCTCTCTCTCTCTCTCTCTCTCTCTCTCTCTCTCTCTCTCTCTCTCTCTCTCTCTCTCTCTCTCTCTCTCTCTCTCTCTCTCTCTCTCTCTCTCTCTCTCTCTCTCTCTCTCTCTCTCTCTCTCTCTCTCTCTCTCTCTCTCTCTCTCTCTCTCTCTCTCTCTCTATCTCTCTCTCTCTCTCTCTCTCTCTCTCTCTCTCTCTCTCTCTCTCTCTCTCTCTCTCTCTCTCTCTTTCTCTCTCTCCTGGAGTCTTGGAGCCCCTGAGGGCCCTGAGCGCCGCCTTGGGGCGAGCTGACGCGAAAGCCTCGGCGCGAACGCCGGGCGAGAACGCTTCGGCGCGAACGCCGGGCATGCGACCCTACATGCCTGGCAACTGGGGGGCGCATCATGCCCCCCCCCCCCCCCCAGTTGCCGGGCATTGCGCGTGCAACGCCTGGCAAACGATGGTTTGCAGGACCCTTGCAAACCCTGGTTAGGTCGGCCTACCCCCCCCCCCCCCCCCGCATGCCAGGCAGTCGCGCTTTTCAGGGAGGCTGTTTGCCAGGCATTGCGCCTGCAATGCCTGGCAACTGGGGGGGGCATCATGCCCCCCCCCGATGCCGGGCGTTGCGCGCGCAATGCCGGGGGTTCCCGCCTGACCGTTCCCGCCGGGGGTTCCCGCCTGACCGTTCCCCCTTCATCTTGATGCTCCGTTTCGGGTTGGAGCCGTGGCTCTCCGGGCGACTTCTAGGGGGCGCTGTCGTCGCTGCATCCTGGGGCTCAGGGCCAATAGTTCCTTTCCTACAAGTCTTGGTTATCACCGAAGAAGCCGCCGATTAGAATCGGTGAGTTCGTAGCTTTTCGGCCCATCAGCTAAAGTTATTATCTTAATGTGGATCAGACGCGCTACCACCCGTGGACGTCCACGCCGCCACCCATGGATGAGGACGCTACTCAGGTGCACGACCCGAAGCCATCATCCCACCCGCTCTTGGCGACGAAGGCGGAGTCGCTAGCACAGCTGGCGCAGCCGACTCGTGAGCGTAGCAGGAGCCCCATCAAGAGGGCCCCCGCGTCGGGGTGGCCGGCGAAGAAGGAGGCGTCTATCCCCGCGCCTGCGGCTGCACCATCGTCGGATTCAGCCTCTGCGGCTGCGGATGCGCCTGGTGACGTCGACCTCGCGCGGGCTGCGCCTTTTTCGCCGCCATTGTTGGCGGGCCCGATGGCTGACGAGATGATGGTTTCCAACATGATGGCGCGGGGCCACAAGGAGAAGATCCCCAAGGCATTGCAGCCCGCATTCCACGAACTCGAGAAGGACATCCGTCCTCACAGGAGGTCCGACGTGTACTACACTGCCAGGTTTACAGTAGAGGTTCGCAGGCATGTGCCGCCGCCGGCGCTGTAGGCGGGTGATAGCGTTGCGGGCCTCTTCGGTGCCAAGCGCAAGCGTCGATTGACGCGCATGCGCCGTCGCAAAAAAAAACGGCGCTGCTATCCCCCCTTACGTCCTCCTCAATCCCCCCCGCCTCTCCCCTTCACACTGTTAGACAACTCCTCCTCCACCTCCCTTTCACCTCCTCCTTTTCTGGGGCTCACGCGTGAACATCCATGGTCTCATCGAATCAAAATTAATTGAGACGTGTCCATCGCAGACTGAGGCGGTCATTGTTCGATCGTCGTAATGAGGCTTTGTAAGCATGCGCGCCTGATGCGCGTCGTCTTTTGCATTGCTACCTCCCTCCCCAGTTTGGAAGCGGATCGTAAGGTCCTGCGCTTGTTTAGGAGGCCCTGTATCTGCCCCCTGTGGTCTCTTCTACATTCGCTGTATACCGTGACCGTATTTGCACTGCCTCTCAGATCACACCAAATCGTAGCATTGCCTTCAATTGCATTGCCTTGCGTAGGGGACCTGGGCATAGCATTGCCTTCAATTGCATTATATGCTGCATCGCATTGCACGGATTTTCTATGGTCGTGCGTGCGTATCCCGTTTTGGCTCGACGTTGGCATCGTTGTTCAAGGCGGCACTCCAGGGGGCGAATGGCTGGGGCAGGATGGCAGGATCGCCGCCGATGCCCGCCCCTTCTCGACCTGCGGGACCACGTGGTTTCAATGCAGGGTATTGTGGCTTCTGGCTCGTTCAGACTTTCATCGCCATCTCATGTTAAGCCTGAATCGTTGCGGCCTGTGGATGACATCATGGCTCAGACTGTCGCCGACAACGGGCTGCAACTAGACCGCGATACTGCCACCAATGGGGATTGTGGTCCAGACGCAATTCTGCGCAACATAGAGCGCCTTCAAGACACTAGCCTCCGGGCAAAGCAAGTCTTGAAGCGCCTGCAGTCACACGGCCGGGAGTCAGCGCTGCTGATGGTTCGCATTTTGTTGTTGATTTGGGCTACGAGCAACAAAGACGTTGAGGTCGTGCCTGGTGTCTCTGTATTGTCGCGGGCGCCAATGGAAGGATACGCGTGCATGGGCGAGTGCGTTGCATCAATGCGCACTCCGCGGACATGGATTGATACTCCCATAGTGGTAGCTGCGTCTGGCGCTCAGTGTCTGAATCCGGATCGCTCCTGGCCCCTGTCGCCTGCAAACTTCACAAAGGCTTCCCGTGCCCAGAGCCTGTATCTCATAGTAATCTTGTGCGGTTGGCATATATGTTCGACGCGTATGCTCGACCTATCCAGCGAACCAATTTAATTATTATTCCTAGGGTGGCAGGTGCATGTTCGGCTTTACTTGAGCCTCGGGATGGTTGTTCCTCCTCCCCCTCCCCCATCCACCCATTCCTCCTCCACGTGAGGGAGATGAGACGCTTGGAGCGACGTCGAATCGAAATGGATGTGCAACAATCAGAACGCGGACGCCACGACGACGACAGTAGCCGATAACCGCCGAGACCTCGAAGCCGATCATCTTGGGCCATCTTGGAAGCCAACCCCTTGCAACTCCTGAGCCACATCTGGGACCAGCTTCGGAAATCTTGTTGTTGCGGGGCGGAACAGAAACAGGGGGCGAGAATGAGGGGGACGAGGGGGGAAGAGTAAGAGTAGGGATAGGGCGAGGGCGAGGATGATGAGAGAGAGTTCGGCGAACGGCGAGGAGGAAGAGAAGGAGGGCGAGGCAGATGAGGAGGATGCGGAGGATTAGGAAGTGAACGCGCGTGCGCACGACCACGACCGTGCCCGTGTTTTCCGAACGCTGAACCCCCTGGGGCCTCGACGGGCCCCCGCGAACCTGAACCCGCACGCGGCGAGACAGAGAGGCGGACGAGGAGGTGAAAAAGAGAGGAGGGGGGCGATGATGAGGAGGAGGAGGATGGGGGGAGGAGGGAAGGAAAAGGCGGATGAAGCGTAAAATGTGGAAACTATGCACGATAGAGAACGATGGCGGGAAGAAGGATGAGGATGCCGGGGAGGGGGGGGGGGGAGAATAGGGTGGGAAAATGGTCGAAGCAATATCTTGGGCCATCGGCTTCGGCTCTCTTGAGCCTGGCCTAAGACCTCCTCAAGCTGACGTGGAGTCATCTTGGGCAATGGAGAAGGAGGGTGCCCTCCAACTGCCTGTAGCCATATTTTGGCTCAATTTGCCGCGCGCCGCCTGTCCCGCCGCCGGCGGGTGAGCCTGCCCACTGGAGGGGTTCGACGGTGGTGTTTGGATAGGGGATTGCCGAAGGGGCGTCGGAACGACAGCAACACCTTGCTGTCGCTAACGTTGCGACGCCCCTGGGATATCCCCTGCCGAAACGCCCCCTGTGGACTCCTCTGGTCCTGCAATGCGGAGAGGAAGCCTTGCTGAACAAAAATGGGCCCCTTGGAGGTCAATGTATAAAGTATTGACGCTTCGCGTATCCCCACCAGCCCATCCAGAAACGATGTCCAGGCGAGTTGAAGAGATCAGGAAAGTGGGGGGGAGCAACGAGAGGAACAGCCGATCCGCGCAAAGGATGAGGCGGAAGAAGGGGCCAGATGGATAGATGAAGGGGGTGGCGAGGAACCGAACGAAGGAGGGATGAGGAGAATGATGGCGCTGGGTGGATGGTTGAATGCCGCTCGGATGCCTCTTGGAAGCCTTTTGGAAGCCTCTTCGGGCGTCTTGGGGGTCTGTTGGCGGTCAATGGGGGCTCTTGGGCGTCTTGGGTGCTTCGGGGGGGCCTCTTGAGGCCGCTTGGGGTCCTCTTGGGGGGCTCTTGGGGGCCTGTTGGAAGCCTTTTGGGGCCTCTTGGGGGTCTCTTGGAGCTCATGGCGGCCTCTTGGAG